ACTCACCCCCTGGGATCCAAAATTGTGGTGGAGAATGAACTGAAAATGATACAAAGGCTTACTAAGTAATCAAATCATAGTCCAAGATGTTTCTGCCACTGATGGACTTGGGCCTCAGCCAACCTTCCAGGGATAGAGTGGATGCTGGTGGGTGAACAGGATGCCGTCTGTAATGTTTTTGTGCCACCATCACCAATCTTTGGGTGACAAAAACCCATCTTACAAACCAGCTTGGCCCCGGTTATCTAAACTACCTTGTAACTAGGAAAGGTGAGCGGCTGTTATCCATACAGACGGTTTGCGGAGAAGCACTGAAGGCACTTTCTTAAAATGTCGGGGGTCCTTTTCTCATTTATCTCTCTTCAGTTCTATGATCCAGAAATCTGTAACAAACCAAGGAGACCTTGATGGGACATTCAAATAGAAGAAAAGAAGGAAAAAACAAGAGAGATCCAAGTAGAGAAATGACCTTGAAATGAAACTTATTTTGGGGCTCAAAAAGTAGATTGGGGGAGTGATAATAGGTAGCAATAATCGTGGGAGACGGGAGGAAGAGCAGTTAGACCAGGCAACAGTGAGATAAGAATGTCTCTGGACATTCTCAAGTCCTCCAGGTCATGGTTGTCTCAAAAAGGAGTTGTTGTTTTTTTTTCAAAAAGGCAATTGGACTGCTTTTTCCTAAGGGGAAAGAAGACATTTCTCTTCTCCTTCCAAAGAAGCGTCATCGGTTCTGGCGGAATGATGGGGGGGTGATGGAAGGATTAGTTCTGACAGTGGGTGGAAGGATCTTATTTGGAAGCAAGAAATAATAATGATCAACTAGATAAGTAGATGAGTAGCGAACTCACAAGTTCAGACTACAAAATCAGTGGGGAAGAGGTGACCTTTCATGCTTGCCAAGAATGTGGCCCACCTTGTAAAGTTATCCAGACAAGCAGCATACCTTAGAACAGTGATGGTGAACCTTTTCGGCAAACTGGAACTTGTGTGCACACCGGAGCACCGGAAAGCCGAAGACCAGCTGGCCGACGCACGCATGCCTGCTTTTTGGGCAATTTTGGACATTTTGGGGGCATTTTCTGGGCTTCTTTTGGGCTGTTTTCAGGCCAGTTTTTGGGGCCAAAATACCCTGAAAAACAGCCTGAAAATTGCCTGGAAAATGGCCTGAAAAAGCCTGTTTTGGGGCTGTTTTTAAGGCTATTTTCCAGCGCTTCGGTTCCCCTTGAAAACCAACTAGCCAGCGTTCATATGCATGCCAGGAAGAAGAGCAACTGGTGATGGCGTGCCTGCCCGGAGAGAGGGCTCTGCGTGCCACTTCTGGCAGGCGTGCCCAAGGTTGGCCATCATGGACTTAGAAGGACTATCTCTAACTTTATTGTAAGGTTACACTAACAGAATCTTGCAAGTCTGAAAGTCCATTTCTCCCCCGGCCGCCTTTACAGCCTGAGAAACTAGGGTTCCTTCTGAGATCTTTGCTACACCCCATTCTTTCTGCAGGCTCAGCTGCCTCTTATCTGAGCGCTGTCTGGTTTGCCGGCTCTTCCAAGGTCACTCGCACATCCCCATTTACATTGGGGGGAGTGGATTGAAGTCCACGTAGGGTCATGTACATAGGGGTCATACCTAAAGTTTTACAGTCCCAACAAAGAAGTTGGCCTTTAGAAGGCTGGAGACTAGGGGAGGTGGGAAAAGAGGAAGAGCTAACTCCAGCTTCTGGAGAAAGAGGGAGATTGGGCTATGACAAATAGGTCGATATTCTCACTTGCTCCAGGGGGTGAGACTAGATTGGGTGAAACCGCAAGGACGTAGATGAGATGTTAAGAAGAACTTCACACTTAGAGTCCCAAAGGTGCTTTTTAAAAGAAGCAATTGGACTTTCTGGTTTTTCTTTGAAGACGTTTCGCTTCTCATCCAAGAAGCTTCTTCCGCTCCGACTGGCTGGTAGTGAGGAATGGAAGGATTTATGCTCCTTGCAGACAGCTGGTCATTTGCATCCTCTTAAAGAGAGTCCTTGAGGCCACCTGGAGGTTTATCTGTGTCCTCAAAGTCACTTGAGTGGTGCAAATGGCTGTGGAGCCATCTTGGAACGATTGAAAGGATTATGTTGTAGACTGGAGACAGACCACATCATCTCTTCTCCAGTCCTTTCAGCGGTTCTGAGAAGGCTCCACACCCATTGGCACCACTCAGGTGACCCACAGACAAACCTCCAAGTGGCCTCAAGGACTCTCCGAAAGGAGGCAAATGACCAGCTGTCTGCATGGAATATAAATCCTTCCATTCCCCACTACCATCCAGTCAGAGCTGAAGAAGCTTCTTGGATGAGAAGCGAAAGGTCTTCAAACAAAAAAAACAAAACAGAAAGTCCAGTTGTCTCTTGAGAAAATGACCCGGAGGATTGAGACTCTCCAGACATTGACCATAAGAGCTATCAATCAGCAGAATGGATTAAAGCAGTGGCTCTTAATTTGCAGCCCGCAGATCCCTGCGGAGGGCCAAAATATCATCACAGGAGGTCCACGAAGCCTTGGGGGGGAAAATGTTATGATTTAAATTCTAAGTCTCGAATCCATGGCCATAAAAGGTACTTAAAGGGGGTCTGTAACCAAAATCTTGACAACAACTGGATTACAGTACTGCACTAGTTTCTTCCTCTTCACTGGTCCCAGTGGGGGGTTCTGGATCCCGCCGCAACCGGTACGCTGTGCACAGAGCCTGGCGTCCTATTCGGGCATGTGCGCTGCACACGCATGTGCATACCACCGTCCTGCGACACCCAGCTGCTTGGCGGAGGTTGTGCAAGCGCCGCGCGCTGTGCCCGCCTGTACAAATTGGCTGGTCGCATTATAAACTGCTATGGAAGGTGGGCAGGCAGGTGGGCCAAACGAGCCACCGTACTGGTACGGTGGCCACTGCTCCCGGCTACTACCGGTACGGCCGTTCCGGGCTGCACCACCCAGAATCTATCACTGACTGGTCCTCATGGGTTTTCAAACAGAAGACAGGTTGTCATCCAGCGGCATAATTATACAGGGTGCAGGACTTTGGACTTGATGACCTCTCAGGCCCCTTCCAACGCTACGACTCTAACGAAATAAACTAGGCATAACGAGACAAAAGGGGTTTTAAAAAAGCTTAAGGTATCTTCTTTTTCTATTTAAAAAAAAAGCCAGGAAAGACAAGTTCTTGTGAACTTTGAACCGCTTGTGTGGTTTATGGGTGAACCATTCAAAGCCCAGTCTAATTATGGAACAGCAGGAAGAGGTAGAAGTGGACTGTCCGAAGGGGAATCCGGTCTGCCTTTTGATTTCAGATCAACTGGTTCAAAGGTATTTCAGCCGTCTGCCCTTTGCCAAACTCAATTAGAACTCTGTATTCAAAAAATAGTGGGAGGGAGGGAGGGAGAGAGGGAGGGAGGGAGGGAAGAAGGAAGGCGAAAAGGAAGAGCAATAGCACTAATATACTGCTTCACAGTGCTTTCACAGCCCTCTCTAGGAGGTTTACAGAGTCAGCCTCTTGCCCACAACAATCTGGGTCCTCATTTTATAGACCTCACAAGGCTGGAAGGCTGAGTCAACCTGGAGCCAAGTCAGGATTGAACTTCAAACTGTGGGCAGAGTTAGCCTGCAATACTGCACTCTAACCACCACTCTAAAATGATTTATTAATGATGCAAGTAGTTGGCTAATATTTCTGTCTATGGGTGAGGAGCAATAAAGGAAACTCTGCTTGTGGGGTTTTTTTTTAGTTTTTTTGGAGCCTAACATTTAGGATTTCAAATTTGAACCTAGCCATGAAGAGCTGCGCGCTAAACTGCACCCATAAGCAAGTTATTATTGATACCCTGAAATCCAAACATCTCCTAAATCAAACTTTCATCTTCCACCAGACTTAAGAGCAGACTGGCCGAATGCGTGGGGCTATTGTATAAAGGATATATTCTGATTCTACACTCAACTTGAAAAATAGCTAACCTTCCCTAGGATGTTGGCTAACTCAGGAGTGGGACTGAAAATCCAGTTACTGGGTGGACGTGGCCATGGCCTAGCCAGCTCCCTGCACCATGCGGTGTGTGTGTGTGTGTGTGTGTGTGTGTGTGTGTGT